GTCAACGTTTTAATTTTGGATGCGCTTGCCTAGGCTCAGTGGGAGGATTCGATTCGTCAGATGCGTTGCCGCAGACATGCAAAACTTGCAACACCCCTTGATTCGTAAACCTGAAACTCAATGTTTCAAGCAAAAGACGCAAGGCATTTTTATTTCAACGAGAATGGGAAATGCCTTCGCTGGTAGAGGTGGATCTTAGCACAAGAGCCCCAGCCTTTGTACTTTTTCAGTCTGGCAGGCCTCATTGTGCTGCTTCAACCGTTTGCCTTTTGAACAAACCTTCGCAGTGCCCTTGCGTCATTAGACAAATGCTCGCAACTTTATCTCAAGCAGCCAGGCAATGGGGTCGGCGTGGGGTCGGGCCCAGTCATTGCCCAAAGATTGGGCAATAAGATCTCAGGCTTGCTTGCTCGCTTTTTGGCAACATCGGCATGCACAACTTTGAGGAAAATCCAAGGCTTTAAGGACACCCAAGCCGGCAGCGGATAATACCAGACACGCCCATATTGGTGTTTCTTTCTGGCGATCGATACCTCAACTGCCAGCAGTTTGCCGCGAAATCTCTTGTTTTGGGACTGTGCACAGCATTGAGCCTCGAGCCGCAGGGAGACTCGAGCACACGAGTCGATGGGGATAGTAGATCGCAGTTCACCGCCGGTTGGCGAAAAACAAATGCAATGAGGAAGCAGAATTGGAACCGCCCAAGTGTGACTCAGATTTCACAACTCAATCGAAAGGTCAAGCAGGCTGAGTGATTACACAGAGAAGGAACAATATAACCGCAACTCAGTAACTCCAAAGCTTTGCAGGTGTTTCGGGGGTTGACTTGATTGATCTGATATGCTCAGGTTGACTTGACTTGAATGCAAGTCAAAACTGACATGCGGGCACAGGAGTCGGTCAGGATGATAACTCTCGCCCTGAGTCGGAAGTGTGGGAGGATTTTTGCATCCGCCATGAGACTTCACAAATCTCGCAGCCGGATCCCTTGCAAACTTGAACTTCGCATCACTGCCACAGCGTTGCTGCTACTGGTGTGGCGCCTATGCAGGAAGCAGATGTTGGACAACGCCCGAGACTTGCAGCAGGCCAGCGGCTGCCCATGTTGGTATTGAGTTCACTAAGTGATATATATGCTACTGTTGGACAATGTGGATTGAATTTCAAGTGCGGCCTGACGGCAGCAGAGGCGTCAGTCAGAAGACATGCCTGGACAAGAGTCCAGGATCACTGATCGCTGAGGCACATCATTCTACTGCAAGCAGGTCCTGGGCGGGATATTGGTCACGTCAGGAAAGTGAACAGTCGATGATTCGACGCACCTGTCGCAAACTCAAATGTTTTCACCATAGATTTGAACCCTTAATCTGAAAATGCCAGCAGCGGTAGCAATTTGATTTAGCACATTGGTAGCAACATCAGACAAATGTTCACAACCTCAAGCAGCCAGGCAATGGTCGGCGTAGGGTCCTATTGGGTAGGCTCAAGGCCCAGTCGCCTACGGATCGAGCGAGATGTCAGGCTTGCTAGCTCGCTGGCAACATGGCACCAACCTGGAGCATACCCATTTTCGAAGCAGTTGCAGGGCATTTCCCACAAAATTGCACAATCTCGACAATACGAGATGTGCCCATGCTTAAATTTTTGTCTTTGTTGATGACGACCTCAACTGCTAGTTGACCTGCTGATATTAATTCCTGTTCCGGGCCGAGTACAGGTTTGAGTCTGGAGCCACGGGGAGGCCCGAAGGCCGCGCATGGAATTGAAACGCAAATGTGTCTCGCCAAACAGATGCTTTTGCCACAAGGAGGTTCCAGGTCCATGAGGATGGTGGTCAAGTGTAGGTGGGAACGAAGCTGCGGCAGGATTTTATGCCCACCTTTTGAATTTACTACGCCTCCTAGCCAACGCCGCAAATGGGGTAGGGATGGGTAGGGTAAACCTTGAAAAAGATCTTGTTTTTGTTTGGGCCAGAGTTGCACAAAGAAGCCATTCCCACACATGTTCAAGTCTCTCCACCTCCTACGACATGTGGAGATTAGGTTAAGGCGCGCTTTGAACAAAGTCCCTCCAAGTCACGCTCCCAAGGCATTTCTCAGCCCAGCGTTTAATGTAGAAAGGTGCTTCCAACCATTTTTTGGCCTTAATTTTGAGTATGCAACTTGCGTTTTCAGAGGCCAGGTCTTACCAGCATGTAGCTGCTAGACACCCGGAATGAATTGTAGGCATTCCTGTATGGACAAAACATGGTCTGAATTGTTGGACCTGATGGAGTGCAGAGTTCCATGTTGGACAAC